GTATTAAATGTTGAGAACGCATACCCAGTTCACATTCTTGCCTGTGTTTTTGCAGTCATCAAATCGGAGTAGATTACGCAAAAAGGAAGTGCGGCAATTGAAGAAAACAGGCACGGACGCCGAGTTGTTGTATGAAGCAGAAATAGCCGAGATGCTTGCCGATCTGTGGCCCTCCTGGCAAAATTTGTTGCCGTTGTTGTTGATCGATCACCTTGGTAGGATCGTTGCTGCAGTGCCCGATTTACTCAGGCGATTATTCGAATATTGTTTGTCCAGAAGAGCTAAGCTTCAGGTCCGTTTTTTCCGTTTTCCTATGATGCGTTTTTGAATTGAGTGTCTTATTAAATGCAAGAACCGGATCAGACTGGACACAGTTTCATAAATTGAGATATGGTTTGGGTGTTGTTCTGTTAAAGCTGGCGAGCTTGCTACGTCGTTTGAAGTTTCACAGAAGTTTTGACAATTTGGATGTCTAGTCCCTCTCCCCTCGAATATGATACATTTTGTGGTGCAGTGGTACTGAAACTCGGCAGACTCTTATCGTTTACTAGCAGTAGGTACACGCCGGTAGAACCGCCGAAGGTTTGTAGTTTGCAAGAAAGCAAATTGGTGAGGGTTTGTGGCATTGGTACGCCAGTGCTCGGTTCGCCTTCGAAACGAATCAGCAGACCGGGAGGAAATTATTTCCTTACTAGTTTGCTATTATCATTTTAGTAAGCTAACCAGTCCCGCCCTTTTTTTAGGCTAATCTTACTGGGGTTTATGAGGTAACATCTAGTATTTTGCAGACGAATGAACTCGGAGAAGGGCCTACTCGTCGTTATACTGCTACGCCACAGCCTGTTTTCGAGTATAGCGTTGCGTCGGATGTAAAGCCAGTGTCAACTTGTGTTTTCGACAACACTAATAGAATCAAATCCAATACGGCCAGTGACAGTAAGTTGTTAATAACAAAGTACTAACTTTCGTCACTGGCAGAGATGTGATTTTGTTTTCCAGCTAGGAGCTCAGGGCGGAGCCGTGATGAATGACTCCATGGCTGTCAAGAAGCTGCATGGCATCAAGCAACATTATTTTTGGACGAAGATTTCATCATAATCATCCAAATGGGGGTGAACATATGCGCGAAGTTTAGCGGGGGAGCGCCTAACCAGAACAGCAAAGAACAATAGTTTAAATAGGATGAAGTTGGTGGGGATTGTAAAATTCAAAATATGAGACAGATACAGTGCCAGTAAATTTTTTCACTTTTTTCGATATATCAGTCGAAACATTGAAAAAGTTAGTCGGGAGCGCTGAGGGATGCCATTCTTAGCAAGATCTAAATGGCCAACGCACGGGCTGCCCGTGCGAAGATGCGTTTTTTGCAGAGCTCCCCGCAGGTTTTT